GGGAAGGGTAGGGGAAAGGAAATAAGGGAAAAGGAAAAAATATGAGAAAATGAAAAAATGGAAATAAAGTGTTTATAAATGGGAAGGGGGGTGCAGTGAGGGCAGGGACAAGGGGAAAAAATGAGATCCCAATAATGATTGTAACTTTACTGTATACCTAAAATGTACCAATAAACTTAATTTAAAAATAAATAAAAATACTTGCTAAGCTGCCGTGAACAGATATAGTAAGAGTTAGAAGGGAATTTAAAGCTATTCAATCCAGTATCTCCTGGAGAGCTGGTGCAGAAATTGGTATAATATCAAAAGGAGAAAAATAAAGGTGATTTTTTTTTTTAGTCAAATTTTTGCTATGTAGTTCAAACTGGCTTTGAACTCACTGTATAGTCCATGCTAGCCTCAAACTCATGATAATCCTCCTGCCTCAGCCTCTCAAGTGCTGGTATTATAGGTGAAATTTATCTTTTAAAAAATATAAATAGCTTTTTATTGAAAGGTAGTGTCCTTTCTGCTTTTTAGGTTTGAATATTACTGTTTTTAATTACGTAATAGTTGGAGGATGTTTTCTCAAGCTGGGATATTAAAGACAAAATTATGTGAGTGTATTGTCAAGGGTTGGGGATTTTCTGCTGTGGATAGAGTCTGGGTGCTTGTCATCTAGTGCCCCCAAGACGTCCCCCTTAAGCAGGGGTGTTTGTGCTGAGAGCTCCTGTGTCAATGCTGATTCTTTGGGCAGTTTTGGTCTAGGCTGGAGGAGAATTGGTAGTCTGGAGAACTTCATAATCTTATAGTAGGCGTAGGCCTGGGAGATGGAGCTCAGGCAGGTGGGGGAAATGCAAGTGGGCTTTGGGTCAACTGATGATTTCTACAGCCAAAGCAGAGATGCCCATGAGATTGTGTTAGCGCCACAAATTAACTACATAGCAATTATGTGCTAACATGGTTGATCAGAGGAACTGTGTAATTGAAGCATAATAGAATGTGGCATGCTCAGTAAGCAATTGAGTTGTCTTCTGAAGAATGTAAGCAGTACTAGACAGGAGAGGCACAGATGTCTTTCACAAACTGCTCCTTGCACAGTCCTGTTCTTTTGTCTTCGAAGGAAGATACATGAGATGTTACTCTAAAGTAATGAGCCTAATTGCACACATCAGACCTGAAAACTAGATTCCTAATTTTGTGTGAAATATGCTTCATTGTATAGTTCTTTGCATGCTTTTTTAACATGCAGATTATTTATTATCATTGGTAAAATTTCAAGGTTTTTCTTTGTCTATAGATTTTTAGGCTTTTGAGGTACATATATAAAGTATGATTGAAAAATATAGTGAATTTTTAAATTAAAAATTTTATTATAGTAAAAGGCACATTGTCATTAACACCTCTCAAAGCACCCCCCCCACGCACACACTTTTTCTTGTCACCTTTTGAAGCACTTCTGGAAGTCTTTTATAAGTGTCTTTAGTTACACAGTTGTGGCTGCCTTGATATCCTGAATTGATTAAAAATGTTTACCTTTCATCATCATTTTGACTCTGGGGAAGAGCCAGAAGTGACACAGTACCATATTGGGTGAATAAATTGGATGAGGACATAATGTTTTACAAGCCTGCTTTCTGTTGGATGGTACTCACAGCAGCATTTGCTGTGTTTTTGATCACAGCGCGTAAAGACATTTATGAACGAAGACTTCCAGAACTGCTTCAGAAAGTGGCCAGAACAAAGGGACAAGTATGTCTGAAGCAAGACAGGGTTATTTTGAGGGTAATTAATGGCAGAGTGTCTTTGACTGTAATAATGTTTTATAATTTAAACTTTCACCATATATTTTTATTATAACTTGTATATGCTATTCTTTCCATGAATAGAAGAATCTTATTTCTTATCAGTATTTTTTATTTGTTGCTTTTGTCCATACATGTAATGTAAAGGTTCAAGTTAACACATGGTTATAAGTCAGCTCGTAATCTGTGCTTTACTTATTTACTTAACCTCCTAATAACCCTGTGAAACAGATCCTGTTCTTATCTTTATTTTAGAGGTAAAGAAACCGAATTCCAGGAAGCATACATAGCCTGTTTAGGATCCCACAGCTAGCTAGGTGGTGGAGCTAGGATTTGAACCAATGTGGATGAGCTCTGAAAGTGTGATCTTAACTATTACTTTATAGTTCCTGCTTGCATGTACTGGTTATTCTGAGCATGGTGGTTTTGAGGTGTCTAGGATCTTGGAATAGCTGCTTGATAAAGCAAGCTTGATTTATTTTTTGTAAAGATTTCATTTTTTGAAAAAATGACTCTTGTATGTTAATACTTCAGTTTGATGGGAGAGCCCATATGTTTAGTTGGGCATGGATAACAGCATGTTAATCCATTGATAGATTTCTGTTTCTGTTGTTGTTGTTGTTGTTGTTGTTGTTGTTGTTGTTATTATTATGGTATCTGGGATTGAATTGAGAACCTTGCGCTTGTGAGGCAGGTGAGGTGCCACTGAGCTAAATCCCCTGCCCCTGTTTCTGTTATTTTAAAATGTCTGTATTGTGATGATGACGAGAAATGCATCCAAACATACCCAGTTGGCACTGACAGTCTGACTCATCAAACTTCCAAGATGTCTTCTGGTAGAGTCTAGACTCCCAAGAACAATGTAGCTTAGGGCTTGCACTTCTAACACAGTAGTGTGGCTGGTGAGTGCCATCTTTGGCTTGCTTTACCTGGAATGTGGGAACTCTCCTTCCTTCAGCTCCAGTTCTGTCTTAGGCTTTGTGGGGCTTGTAGGTCTTGGCCACGCACAGGCCTCCTTTATAGATGG